TTTTTTTAAGTTTAACATGGGCTTTCAGGCACTTGCATGCGTTTTTGATGCGTTCCAGACCAGATCCAGAGCAGGTAAAATAGGGCTTGCCGCATTTTTTTCATCCGGTCTGGATCCGCAAGCTGCCATGTGAACTGGAGGTCAAAATACCATAGGAATACATTGGACGCAGTTTTGATACGGTCTGCACCTGCTCTGGTCCGGATCTGCTCCGCGCTTGGTGTGAACAAGGCCTAAGATGTATCAATTTCCTGTGATCCTCAGCGCCATCTAGTGGCCATGATGAGGTATTTTCCCGCCTCGCTCTTCTTTATGAACAAACGTATTTTTTTCTATTGTCTGTTATACTTGAAGAACATTCGGCCACAAGAGAAAACACACTATGAACATTCAATGTTTCCACATTCTCACAGCAGCTGGTTACTTCAAACATAATGAATATACACGCTGGACAAATAGCTATGCCAATTCTTTTATAAACAGACCCCAAAGTTAGAACAAACACTCTTACAGTTATCCCTTTAGAGGATTTCCTTCCTGTCCTAGGGTGACAACACTCACTCACTGTACTGAATGCGTGAAGGAGCAGAGTTGTCACCCTAGGGATGCACCGATACTGATACCAGTATCGGTGCTGAGTATTTGGGCGAGTACTCGTACTCGCCCAAGTGCTCCGATGCCTAGCCCGATACTTCTGGTATCAGGAAGCCGGGCAGCCCGTTAACCCATTACACGCTGCCTGGCCGGGAAGCCAGCTCCATACTCCCTTGTCACTTCCTGATTGGCCGGGAAGCCGGCTAAATGCTCCCTCGTCACTTTCTGATTGGCCGGGATGCCAGCTTCATGCTCCCACGTCACCTCATGACGAGGGAACATGGAGCCGGCTTCCCGGCCAATCAGGAAGCTGGGCGTTGCGTCATTACACGGCGTTGCGTCATTACACGGCGTCGCGTCATCCTGATTGGTCAGAAAGCCGGTTTCTTGTGACGAGAAGCATGGAGATGGCTTCCTGGCTAATCGGGAAGCCGGGTGGTGAGTCATTACACGCTGCCCGGCTTCCTGAACGGGACTTCCGGTATCGGTATTTGGTATCGGCGAGTACTGAAAAAAAAATATCGGTACTCGTACTCGATTCCGAAATACCGGTATCGGTGCATCCCTAGTGCTTGATTTAGGCTACAGAACACCTCCCCCTCTCTTCAAATCCATAACATAGGGAGGAGGTGCAGTTCACAAAGGAGAACTGAGCAGGGCTTGTAACACTGCTTGGGATATTCGGTACTTTTTTTTGCACTTAAAACAGATACAGTCATGTGACTGTGTGAGTAGGGAAAATACAGCCCGCTTAGGAACGCCCACCCATCAAGGCATATTGATATTTGCATAACTCCTCCCCAGAACCAGCCACTGCTTGCATCAGAGGGCTCTTGAATGTAGTACTGAGGCAGGGTGCTGTGATGTCTTCAGGAAACTACAGAGACCCAGTGATGTCATGATGGGATCTAAAATAAGGAATGTAATGAAAAAGGAAACTTTTTTTTAATTATTATTATTATTATATTAGTATGTTGCTGAGGGAGGAAATTAAGAACCAGAGAAGGCGAAAATATAAACAGAGTAAACTTCCGGCTTTAATTCTGACATATTAGAACAAATATTCTACGATATAAAACATTCTTCGTACAAACAACACTGTACATAAGAGCGACAACTCCGATCGGTCGGCTTCAGAAGAAATCCTCAATCTTCCTTTTCTTCGGCGCACTTTCACACAGCGCTCCCGAGTCCACTTCCTCGCACGCCTGGAGTAAGAGCGCTTCATCCGCGTCATCCGCCCCCCCGTCCTGCGAGAAAGAGCGCTGGAACAGGTCGTAGATGGTTTGCTGCTTTGGATCCTGCGGAGGAATGAGAGAAGTGGAAATAAAACAATCTGGCCCGGGTTCTATCTTCTGTGTTCTCCTTCTGAAGCCTGCGTTACCCGTGGGAGAAGCAGTGCAGGGGAAGCACGGCGCTCCGGACATACACCGCCATTTTTATTAACCCCTTGAAGCCCGCGGTGTTACGCCCCCTTCCTGTCTCGGCCATTTTTCAGTATTCAGCGCTGCGGTACTTTGACTGACATTTATTCCGTCATGCTACGCTGTACCATAATGAATTTTATACCATTCTTTTGGGACAGATAGAGCTTTCTTTTGGTGGTATTTAATCACCACTTGGGGGGGAGGGGGGGTATTCTTTACTATATAAAAGAAAAAAAAGTATTGAAAATGCCGAACAAACAAACTGCTTTCCCTGCATTGTGTTATGAAACATTGCCAATAAATAATCACTCTTCATATATTTTGGCCATACTAAGGATGCACCGCTACTAGTATTGGTGCCGATACCGAGTATTCGCTGCTAGTACTCGCGCTCGCCCAAATGCCCCGATACTTACCTCCGATACCGGAACTTCCCGTTAGAGGAAGATTTCCTCTGACCGGCAGTGCTGTGAGGGAAGATGGAGCCGGCTTTCTGGCCAATCAGGAAGTCGGGCGGCGGGGTATGACCAATCAGCATCGATCAGGCCAAACAGCATGGAGCTGCCTTCCCAGTCAATCAGGTAATGACCCGCCCCCCAGCTTCCTGATTGCCCGGGAAGCCGGCTCCATGGTAGCAGAAGTACCGGTATCGATGATATAAATGTCGGTATTCGTACTTACTCGTACTAGATACCGAAAAAACAGTATTGGTGCATCCCTACCAAAATGTATTCTGCTACATTTCTTTGGTCACGTCGGGTAAATGGATACCAAACACGTCAAGCCTTAAATTTGCCTGGTCCTGTGAAATCGCCCCCTCCCCCCCCAAAAAACTACCATACCCAAAATGCTCATCGTTTTTGCACATTGGCACACCTGACGCATGTTTGCATTTGTTGGTGCATGTACGTGGGTGCGGGGGACTTTAAAAAATATTTTTGTGTTAATTAAATTTTGTTTTTTTTCTAACACTTAACTTTATTACATACAGGCCTAACAAGCCCCCTATATGCTAGCACAGATACAGTGACAGGTCCTCTTTATGGGGACATTAGGGGTCTATTAGACCTCTAATGTCACCTAGAGACCCCAAAGAAGCTGATGAAGCAGAGATCTGCTTCACCAGCTTCTTCTCCGGTTAACTGCCTCCGGGCCGGCCGTAGTAGAAAACCGGCCGGCCCGGAGCTCTCTAGATCTGAGCGGGCGTCTCTAGACGTCTGCTCAGACACGCCCCCTCGCGCG